TTAATCATGCACTTTCGTGCGCCAGTTTTGGTTGCTGTCTTTTGGTTACTCATTTGGATTAAAGAGCAGAATTGAGTCTCACTGTGTCAACCTTACCGCCAATCGTCACGCATGGGCTTTCATCATTGGAATCATCCAAACGGCTATTTATCCTCCCGTACGAGTTTTCGCTCCAAAGGAAATTGTGTAAGTCAAGGAATGGGTGTCCGATGATACACTGATGATTCGCCTTCAGCAACAAAGTGTGAAGCGGAGGGTAGAACACTATAAGAACAGTTTTACTGGGCTTTATCGACATTATATTTGGCAGCTTCCGATCCAACTACTACTCACAGGTGACAATGGTCTTTCTTGTGAAGTGAACATCACTCGGGAAATAAATTTCCACAGAAAATACGGGAGAAAAAGGTTGATTCCCCTCCGTCTGTTTCTAAGATATTTCTTCATCCTTATTCTGTCTGAGTTTGCGGCGAAACTCTCGGAGACTCGTTAGTAGACAGTAAACAAATTGCGTAAAACTGATTGTCTGCCATTCTCTCTCAAAGCTTCTTTCTACTATCAAATCTTCATCGGTTTTCAACCGCGGTTTATCAGTGCAAGTGCGAGATTCCTGTTGGTTTTTGGACCTTTTCGAGAATGCTTCGATGTTTTCATATGCAATGTTTAAGCTCACCAGTGTTGCTCGTTCGATTTCATCATAGAGAGTGATTGATTTTCAGAGTTGTCCTCTCTTTTTCTTTGTAAGCTTGCAATAGATATGACTATATGAACGGTCCTGTCCTCATATGAGGGTAGCGGCATCGATATACTCACACATTTCAGGTGTTGTGATCTTGGGTTGGGGTCTATAGGTGACATTATACCATTAATTGAAAATTCGGATAAGTTGCTGGCTTTTCTAATGATCTTTGTGTTACTATAACTGTTCCGTATACTTTTTACACCTTGGAGTTGTAAAATGCTGTTACAGGGCTGGATTAGTTCTATTCTGGGTTCTCATTCTTAGAGAGGAACCATACAGAAAGGAAGTGAACTTTGTGAATCACGTAGCCACGTTTCACCGGACTGACACGTCACAGATTACGCGTCGGCACGCGTTCAAGACGACTGGATTGGTGTTCTTCAACTTGCCAAATTTGTGGTTTCTGGAAAGCTTGTGCTGTGACCGTCTGGTCAGTTATCCGTTTGATTGTAGATACATTCAGTTCTGTCCTTACAACCATGCACTTTCGTGAGCCGATTTTGGTTGCTGTTTTTTGGTTGCCTATTTGGATAAAACAGCAGAATGGTGATTAGAATGTTGAGAGCAGATTCAAACGGAAGATAACACATTTTCATAGACCGAATTTACAAGAATAATGAGTAGATGCATGAGTGCCACTGTTTGTGACACCCAGCCGTATCGCTCAGTGCCTCTAACCATCGGTGACCATGATCTCTGGGAGCCCAACGGGACCTCTGTGAGTCAGTCTCCTGGTCAGGGTTCTAATACCCTCATGCCAGGTCTTAGTATGGTCGCCCTTGGCTTTTTTTCAACCGCTACCTGCCTCACCAAGCATTGCTCGCCGCGGAAACCTATCTGGTGACATGCGTAACATATGTCCCAACCAGCGTAATCTTTGAAGTTCGACTACCTGTTCCAGTGGACGACCACGATTACCTAAAAGTCTACGCCTAACCTCATCATTGCTCCGATTTGTATGCGCGCCGACACTTGATTTGTGATGCGTCCACCAGGTGAGGTATAGCTGCCCAGATAGCAAAATTTGTCTATTTCCTCCAGTACTTCCCCGGTCAGGGTGAGATTAGGTGCTGCACCAACCCACTCTTGTAAGGTGCAAAGCGCATACCGAACATCGCAACACTAGCACTCAAACTATCCAGAAAAGCTTGCAACTTACCTGAATCTTCACTTAGTAATACAATGTTGTCTGCATACTCCAGATCCGACAGTCTACCACCTGGGAGTAAATCGATGCCGCTGTCCGCGCACGAGGATAGGGCTGATTCAGAGACATTGCTCTCACGGGAATTGGATGAACACAGTTTGTTGGCATTGGAACACCGACGGCTACACGGCATTGTGTGCGGACATTCGGGTTTCGGTAATCGAGGTGAATATATCGGAGCAAAGAGCATATGTTACCCGATAGGTTCCCTCGTCATGCATTGTTTACTGCCACATTGGTGTAGGTGAAAAAAGTCAGAGTTGATTTCACAAAGAACTGAAACGACAATATGAAGACCCTAAACAGTGGGCTGTGACGTATATAGATGGATTGCTTCCCAATTAGGGAGGCCTCGGGATCATTGTACTTGTGGATTACAGATAGTCATGTTGCTGAATGCCGTGAAACGGTGACTCGTGTTCATGCACTCAATTTCCTCCTTACTATATTCTACAGGTATTGATCAAAATCGATTTTGAAAATTTGTTTCAGTTTCCGATATCACACCTGTATATCTATTTCTATGGGTAAAGTGCATTTATGCCTAATTTTATCTCTGGCTACCGTGTTCTCGGTCCGCTTCTGTCACCGTTTGAATTTGCGCGACCGTGATTGTCGCGATAAATTTTGTAGTAGTTCGAAAGTTACAGCTGATATTTGAAATATCTTTTCGTACAGAGCAATACGGCAATTCATTCTTCCTAATAAATAATTCCTGCTTCACGAGAGTGATAAATTGAACACACGGCTCATAAATAGCTTATTTCTTTTCATTCAGTGCACAGTAAATAAGTAAATGAATGAAAATATTCGAGCTTAACTAAATTGATAAATTTTTCGGCTACAAACTACTCACTAATTATCCACAACACTGAAAGAACTGAAAATATATTCCAAGTAACATACAAGTTGATCTTGACATATGCGGCTCGTTGAATAAGCGTCCTGTAGTGTCACCATATCCAAACCGTATGAAACATTCAAAAGATTTTGGCATATCATTGAAGCCGAGAGGCATATAAATCCGCCGACTCAGCTCTTGACTAGTGCAAGCACTTCGATGTGAACATAAGCCCAATTTATTGCACAGTCCACGGAATTTCTCCATCAAGATATAAACCAATAGGAAGAAGCCCGATCACATCAAAGCAAGATGATGGTTGAACTTAATCACAGCAGCGAAAAGTTGCACGCAACCAATATGGAGATTGGCCGTTTTTTCATCACGCTACCGTTTGGAAAATGATGGCTCAATTTGAAATGCCTCAAGAGCGGTCGTCAGTGGTTAGGATGCGCCATGTTGTAGACAAAACTGGCAAATGCTATTGGGCAATCAACGTGGTGGATTCCATGCAAAAGCGACTGCCTTCGGTGCTCAAAAATGAAGAAAGGCAAGTGTAACACGGACAAGATGAAAGTACAATACCTATATCAAGCCTATGGGTCATTTTGATAAATAAATTCTAGTTATGGTTTTCATCGTGGCTTTGCTATTGTACAACCGATGCACTAGGAACTATCGTCAAAATTGAGAAATTTTACATTTTGATGGCATTCAATTAAGAAAAGCAAAAACATAAGCGGGATATTCTTACAGATCTGTTGCGTCTGATGTAAGCCACTTTCATATTCAATCCCTTGTGAATGAGGCCGGAAACACTAAGTGTTTAGGGGAACAACTGTGATGAAAGTCAGGATGTTGCACGAGTTTGGTCAATGCCTGTAGTATGTAGCTGAAAACATGCGATGGGGATAATTTGTGTAACACTTGCTGCTGCTGTTTTTTGTTGTTGTTTTTGTGAAATCCTAACTTTCTGGGAGCCTTTTTTGTCTCGCCCTTCCAAGTCCCGGCGCTTAGGTTGCTGGTCTCCAGGATTGAACACCAGATGCACCTAATCATAAGGTTCACTGCGTATTCCTGTTACACAGGAATGTTTAATTGAAATCTAATTTCCCCTGATCCTGTTTCCAACTTTCTGATCCTATACTCCTCTACTCCTTCATCCAGATGGGTAACTGATGGACAGCAACCAAAACCGCCTCCCCCTAAGGTGTCAGGTCAATTGTGGTATCAACTGAAACGGAAACTGGAAATGCTCTGCAGTGTGAATTTCGTACCGATGCTCCCCTGTGCTAATTATCATATAAAGGTCATCAGTGGTTAGGTAATTGATGTCCTTCAGCATACTGAATTTTGAATGCTTTTCACGGACATGGATAATGAATGAAGGTCAAAAGCGGTAGCGGTAGTGTTTAAACACGTTCTGTGCTACAAAGCAATGCTGCATTCAAATGTTCGATTTCGCTTCTCGTTTCATTCGGTCTAGCTACCACTCCCAGATGAGCACACTCACTTCACGTCCATGTGAGATTCTTTTTCGGTTCCTCTTTTGTGTCTCGCATACTGTTTATGGCTTACGCTCGGATCTTTGTACGCTTCGCAAACCTATCCACAACCAAGGGATTATCCAGGACCAACTTATTTGTGGCATCTCCCTGTATTGCTCTCATACGTATTCATCATCTGTCCTCACCACTTCTATTTTTACCAACAGCGCGTTGCTCAAAATTGGGTCAACCGTACATGTGAACTGAGGCAGATGGACAGTTTGGATGAAGTTGATTCCCGGGTATGTAACACGGCATGATCTACCGTTCTCCTTCACATATGTGTTTTAACTTTTCATTTAATCCTGTTTTTTTCCAAAAACTGAAAAGCGCTTCACGCGATCAAATACATCCTCAAGTTGTGTGTGATGGAAGACTTGTTTAATCAACGTTAGCCACAAATCTACCTGCTGTCAGACGAATTTCTCACACGTGAAAACACCACAAGTTTCATGAATAAATCCATGAAGATTCTTACGACCGACGATCTCGTGTACGATCCCTGTTAGCACTCGACCTTTTTCGAGGATGCGCGTCTCGTTCTTCTTCACAGACATATGTGCTATCCGTTAGAGTGACAAAGTGATGATGATGGCGCCCCAGATGGTTCATTCACGGTGATTTCTTCGGATTTTTATTGCAGAGAGAGAGAGGGAGAGAGATCACTTGCCAAACAACAACGCCATGGGTCAACGAGTGTTTGTTCATCGAAGTGAGAACTATCTATCGACAGCTAATCACCTTTCTATTACCCACCTGAAGTCGTGCTTAGTAGAGTTCAGCTCCTTCAGATAAAAGGAGAAATCATAACAAATGATCCGTCAAGTCGAGTCGGAGGCAGATTTTTTTCCCATTGCATTCAATTAGCTGTTGTAATATCGAAATTACACTAGTTTCAAATTTCTCTGAGGACAGAAACTAATTTAATTTGTGATAAATTTCGTATCCGGAGCAAATAGAGCGTGAACTGAAAAGTTTAGAAGTACTTGGCAGCTGCGCTGATCAGGTTTGGTCTCGTCAGCTATGCGTATCCATCGACCCAACGCAGGGTTCAAACCCGGAAGTGCGCTGATGGAACACCAGCATACTTAACCCCCTGGGAAGTTGATTCCCCTGTTTTTTCACTCTACCTATACACGATATAGCAGCCAAACCATCTTTACGGGTACCTCGCGCCGTTCATCTCAGTCCCAGCCCTTCACTGTTATGTTTTCGACTGGAAAATTCCAAACCTGACGGCATGTTGTTTGACAGTGGTGAATGATTTTGATTGTATGGTGGTTCAGCTTCCGAACAGTGTCTCAATTTTCATTTTCCGGACAGTAACAAATATCTTCATGATTAATTCTCAAAACCTACCATTTCAAAGATCCCTTCGTTTCGATTTTAGCGTTCACAATGAAATGGGTATCTCCAGTTACTTCGACGCCATAGTTCTGGATAAATTAGTTCCATCGCTTACAGTCCTGTGACCGTTATCTCTCGTTACTACTTCACTGGTTGACTGTTTTATTTAGAATCACCTATTAAAGTGGAACCATGATTCCCCAGCAGTACATATATATGTTTTCCGGTAAATTTCGATGTGACCACTTTGTTTACCTCGCTCTCCAGATTATGTCGGCTCTGGAGACAGTGGCCCAGTTGCATGCTCGGGAAAGTCGTCCGGAGAACGATTCGCATGAATCCGATGAATCCAGTGATACAAACGGATCGACCGACGATTCCGGCATTATGGGCTCTTTTCTTCTCATTCGGCGTCCGAACTGTCCGACTGAGCATAGTGAAGAGACTCTGACTACCCGAGATCGTAGTGAACAAGCTATGGACAATGCAAATTCAGACAATGGGTCTTGGACCACATACGACAGTACCCAGAGTACAGAATCAAGTCAGGATTCATTAGCCAGTCACACCTCGACCTCTTCCTCGTCGACTAGTACAATTTCTTCGGGATCCGGAGTGACTGCTGTCGCGGCCTCCACACTTTCACTCTTGTCTCCAATCTCCAATGGCAGTGAGCTTTCAAATTCGCACTACTCTGGCCTGGATAATACCCAACCTGACTGTATTACTGCTAGCGATGTTGGCGGTGATACAACTGCAGACGGCGAGTTGCCGATTGCTGAGTCGTCCGATTACTCTCAAATCAATAATCCCGCGGCCTCAGATTGACCCAGGACACGTTCCTGCTGAAACGTGAGGTCTGTCTGCATAT